TTATCAAATTGTTTCACCGCGATATTGTTTTTATATGAATAAACTTTATTACCTCTGACATAAGCTTATTCAACTTTCGACATATTTTTATTTGTTATAATATATCTATTTCTTCTTATGTATGCACAGTTTGCCCTATTCATTATTTAATGTTTTGATTTTTACATATATTTAATTGTATACACAATAATATATAGATATAATATAATAAAATAATAATATAAGAGAATTATATTTATTTTGCGGCTACATATAATTTTAAATGTACAATTTTTTTAACGAGATTTTTACAATATACGTTTCTCTCATATACAGAAGACTTTACAGTTTCATTTTAACACACATATATACATACACATGTTATTTGTCAACGTTAGACTTTCAGTAAATGGCCAATAGTTTTACGTTTTGAAAAGAAAATAGAAAGAACTAGCAGTTACATTATCGACACGACGTAGTTGTGGACACCCGATTGCTACTAGTTAGTTAGTACAGCGCCCGTTGGCGCTACGAGCTACCGCCCCGCTTGCCCTCCGATCCCCGCGCTTATTCTTCGAATTAATGACGCCGTCTGTACAAACATATATATATATAGATAAGGAAAGTAACGCAGTAATTCTCGGTTTGGAGGTCGGGGGACAGCCCGGGCCTTCCAAGGACAGAGCTAACTGTCACCAAGCGCGTCGCCGGGTTGCGGATAGGGGAACGGTCTCAAGTACTGAGGTTAGCTGCGAATAACCCTTTCGGGGGGAATAAGCAGTCGCAGACAAACAGCGCTGGATACTGAGAGTGGGGTGGTTGCTCCTGTGGGAAGGAAGTAGCCTATAAAGTGCCCCATTAAACCTGATGAAGTATCCACGTCAAAGGCGAGTGAGTGCCGCCTTAAAAGCACTTCAACCTTCGGGCAGATCGGGCTCGTTGGGTTTTGTTTACCAACCGATCTAGGTGAAGGAAAACACCGATGTAGAATCAATTAAGTAGAAAACATGATGGACAGCAAGACGAAGAAGGACTTCTCGCCCCAGAGTGATCGGACACTCAGGGGCCGGCACGGTGGGAGTACTGTCCCTGCTCCCGCCGCGTTGTTATCCAGCGAAGGGCAGAAGGAAGGGTTGACGGCGGGACCCTCTGAACAATCTGCTACCGCCGTAGCTGAGCAGTATAGAGAAAAGAGGAAGGCTGACAAGAGCCTGGAGTCGGCTCTTCAAGAGGGTTTCGGGGTGGCCGATTGCTCCCTTGTTACGATGGGCATCGGCGCCCTCTTTGACCACGTAACTGACTCCCTGGACGAGCTTTGGAAGCGACTTTGTCGTCGCTCTAAAATGTCCAGGGAGGAGAAAGCGGGCAGGCCGAGGGAGCTCCGGGAAAGGATCGCTTCAGGTTTCCTGGAACTCCGAGCTCGATTTACCCCTCTCCGTGAGACCGTTGACAACATCGAGAGGGGTGTCGCCAACGTGGCCAACGAAGTATAAAGGGTCGCTCGGGGGCAGGTTGCCTCTGAGCGACAAATTTTGGAGGTTATCTTCCAGGTCAGTGAGGATGTTGATGAGGTTAATGCCTCCACCCTCGCTGACCTGAAGGAAATTAAGAAGGGAGTTGAGGGGGCGCGTGCGGCGATCGAGGGGGTCCATAATGAGACCTCCCGGTCGCTTCATGCACTTCACGAAAGCATGGAGACGTCGGTACGTGCCATCGCCGACGTCTCCATGCCGAGGCCGGAAGGAGCTACATGCTCCACTCCGGTCAGAAGAGAGTCAGATTCCCCCCTCCTGGTTAGAGGAGATTGAGAGGGTGGTGCGGTGTACCGTCTCGGGGGAGCTCCAAAAACTTTTGGAGCGGGGGCTCCCGAAACGGCCCTCCCTGTTAGTAGGTTTCCGATTCCCCCGCCTGTTCCTGTTAGGGCACAGGCGAAAAAAAAGGAGCAAAAAAAGGAAAAGAGAAAGAAGAAGAAGAAGGAGAAAAAGCAGGTGGTAAAGATCACCAAGGCGCCTACAAAGGGCGGGGGGACGGCCGCTGATGCCGGTCGAGGGGAGTTTTCCCCTCCTTTGACCCCACCCTCGTCAAGCCAGCGGCCGCCTTGCGAGGTACTTCCGCGTACGGAGGCGGGGGCGGGTTCCGTTTGACCACAGTACGATTCGACACCGCTCGATTCGACACAGATTTATTCGACACCAAATTATTCGACACCGTACGATTC